ACAGGGAGAATGGTTCCTGTTCGCGTCCGAGTGCGTTGGTAGACTCCTTCAAACTCGTTAGCGATTTCTCTGACGGTCGGCGAACGACTTGTCTCTGAGTCATCGGAATTAGGACTTGAGGCTTTCCCTTTTCCGATCACATTGATAGTGACCTCAGGATATTCAGTCTCTGGAGACTTCTTCCTGTGAGAACGTACCTCCAATAGTTTACAGGAGGAATGGCTCCCGTCCGGGTTTGCAACGATCCGTCTCTGACTCATCAGAACTAGGGACTGATGATCTCCCTATACTGACCATGTTGATAGTGACTCCAAGATACCCTTTCTCTGAAGTCTTCTTCATGCGCGAACATCGTCGTTGATTGAACAAAGCAACGTTTGTTAATTGGTCGAACCTCAACGTTTTAGTCGCACGTGAGGAACATTGACATCCCGAGAGAACCATAAGAATCAATCGTTCATATTAGAATGAATGAATGACTTGTTGCATCGGTCTTTCTCTCGATATGAACACTCTCAAATCTGTTGCAAAGACTCGAGAAGAATTACTTACTGATCATAAGGTTTGAATTGAAACCCCCAGTCCATGATTGGATAGGACTAGCTCTTGGTGAACATGAATCTGGTTGAGATGCCTTGAGTCCATAAACTTCTTATATCTGCCCCTCAATCTAGTCATGCTACGTAGAGTATTCGGGGGTCTCACGGTATACACTAGGTTCTGTATTGGATTTTGTTACCGAACGCATGCCTGAGCTCCAGGTTTTGCTGGTGAAACATAGTCCTAAGGTCTGCGGTTTGCTAATGAAACATAGTCTTGAGATATGTGTTTTGATTCTAGAACGCACTTCTGAGAGTTGTGTTTTGGTTCTGGAACGAACTCCTGAGAGTTGCATTTTGGTTCTGGAACGCACTCCTGAGAGTTGCATTCAGTTTTTGGAATGCACTCCTGAGAGTTGCGTTCAGTTTGTGGAACGCGCCCCTGAAGACGGTATTTTGATTGTACAACGAGCCATTGAGGGCTGCATTTGGCATAAACTGAGCACACTCCTTCGGAGGAGGGGCTGTTCAAGTAATCTTGGCGAAAGGAGAGGGATTCCTTCGGCATAGGAGCAACAATTGGAGCTTTAGTCTCTTTGAAGACTTTGTGGATCTTGCGCATAGCCTTGGGGCTAAGGGATCCGGAGGAGAGGACTTCCTCATACTTGGCTTGATCGAACTCTATGACGAGAGTTTCAACCGTGGTTCCAGTGAGATGAACATCGGATTGCGCCACCACTTCTTCGTCAGAGAAGCTTCTCCCCAGCGGAGTCGCCATCTTTTGTTTGTGGGAAATTTTGTAATAAAAGAAATGAAGGAAAATTGATTTGTATTCCTTTAATCTCAGTTACAATTGGATTTCCTGATTACAAAAGAGCGGAGAATGATCTGGATTCTCCCCTTTGTTTAAATCTGGGTTCTTCACGGTGGCGATGAGATGCCTCCCTCGAATGCTCGCGTCGAGTTTGCTTCTCGTTGACGATCCGACGTCTTATTTCACTGGAACGTGGTCTTCTCCTCACGATTTGACGTTGTGGAGAACTCTGAACGAGTTTAAAACTCTATGAAAGAGTTGATTTAACCGAAAGTCGGTTATAAGCCAAGGATGAAGAAGATCTTGTTGCCGATCTCCAAAGCTCCAACCGAAGGATGAAGGATCCTCTTTTCGCTGCCAAGAAGTTCCAACAGACCGAACCTAGAGCTGCGTTGGGCAGCGCTTGGAGCTGCGTTGAGCAGCGTCGGGCGACGAATAGAGCTGCGTTGTGCAGCGATATTGAGCTGCGTTGTGCAGCGATGTTGAGCTGCGTCGGGCAGCGATGTTGAGCTGCGTCGGGCAGCGATGTTGAGCTGCGTCCAGTGGTGATTTAAGCTGCGTTTGCAACTTTTGGAGCTGCATTTGAGCTGCGTTCGTGGCTATGAACGTGGCGCATCTTGATGCTGGTACGTGGGGAGGACTTCCACGTCTTGGTTTGAAGAGACCATTGATTTGTAGTCTCTTTCTGTCGAAGCGTTGCAAAGATCATTGTCTTGTAATCTTCGTCTTGGCTCCTTGAGAATATGAGAGTTGTCAGATTGTAACTCCCGATGTTGATTGTGAAGGCTGTTGAAGTAGAGCTTCCATCAGTTGTCGTGAAGGTCGTCAGATTGTAACCTTCAGTGATCTACGTGAAAGTCTTCAAATTGTAGCCTTCTGGAAGTCGTCAGATTGTAACTTCCATCATCGGTGTTTGATAGGGATCAGCTATCTATTGTGATTTTTAGACAGCCTACAATAGCCAACTCATTATCCAATAGGAGGGGGACACCTCACTTTTCCTTCCTATTGGTCCCATATTTTGGGTCCTTGTAACAAAGCTCTTTTATATGAAAAATTCTTCCAGGACCCAAAATATGGGACCAATAGCGGGGACAAGTGAGGTGTCTCTCTCCTATTGGATAATGAGTTGGTCATCATTAATGATAGTCAACTCATTATCCAATAGGAGGGGGACACCTCACTTGTCTCCCCTATTGGTCTCATATTTTGGGTCCCTGTAGCAAAACTCTTTTTATATTCTAACAAAAATTACTAAAATTATTAATCTCTTTTAATAATCTCTTTTAATAATCTCTTTAGGACAAGAAATCTCCTGGCCACAAGAGATAGACCCCACAAAACATGATGAGCAGCTAACAACCACAATATAACTGTTATAAATGTCCCTAAGGTCCCTTTCATCTATAGTATCTGGAGTTAGATAAAAATTGCGATCAGTGAAAAGAGGTAAGAGTTGAGATGGAAGAAAGCAAGCTGAGAGAAAAATAAAGAAGCTATGTTAAAAAGAGAGTACAAAGCTTCGAAGATACAGTTCATGGAAAGTTGAACTTGAAAGACCTCAGTACATGAAAAGTTATGAGATATTTAATATAGTGAAAACCTCAGAATCTTTTGAAAAAAAACAAAGTTTATTACCAGGTGCTTCCTTTCTCTTCAGTGCTAGCTACAAGGATTAGCAACTAGAATTGTTCCCCATTATTTTTATAATCAAGAAGAGAGGATCATGCATTATATTATTCCTCCTTGAAAGTCAAATTCATTTGATCGGATCACGTTGATTCTCTAAAATCACATTGTACACTTATAATAATTATAATAATGCATTATATTTTAGGCTCTACAGCTATCTTTTGTTGACAAGGTAGTTTTTAACTTTGGAAAAACCCTTTAATTGCTCTAGTAAAAGTCCTTTGTTTTGTTTTTACTCCTTAGAAAGATTATACTATATTTATGTTCCTAACTGACATCTTTAAAATCATTAAAATTTTGACATAGGAAATTAGACTCTGTAAGTTTCATAGCTAGGTACATATTTTTCTCGAAAACACCAATAATGACAATACGTGTGCTTGACAATCACCCTAAAATTGGACCAGAACTAGTCCTAGCCTTGTTTTAGACTAAGTTTATTTTGGACCAGGAGCAAGGTGTTCCAGAGCGAAACCAGTTTGAGAGGCCAAATAAACTGGGCCAATGTTGGCGCAATTACCCATACACTGTGGGTCTGTTTGGCAAACCAAACGAAAACAATGTCAACTATGTATACTCCCTTAACTAGGCCAAAGCTGATTCAGGTAGTGGGTGGATCAATTCTAGCCCAGTTTAAGGAGCTCAAAATGACCTAAAAAAGCTAGGTCAAAATTGGCTTAGTTTTTCCAAATAGAAAATAGGTCAAAACAGAGTCCGGTCCAAACCTAGTCTAGTTTTAGTGGGTTGCAAAACAACCGTACAATTTCCTCCAAAATGAAAACATGATCAAACCCGACCCTATTTTGAAGAATAGTCAAACACACCAGTAGTAAGGAGAGCAATAATATGGGACACTGTCATATATCAACAATAGCAACAATTTTTAAAATATTGATTCATGTCAGAAAAAAGTAGATATTCAAGTCCAATTGGCTGAGTTTTACATATAATAATTTTAAAATTGGTGATTTGTACTGATTTGATATTTGCATTTATGTTTAATTGTATCTTTATAATCTTGAATTTTTTTTTAATTATAGATCTAAAGTTGGCTTTGGAAACTATCTTGTGTTTTTCTACTTCTTGCATGATTCTTTAGAGAAGCATTTTCCCCATAATTTGACAATTATTATTATAAAAAGCATCAAGCTCCCACAAATTTTATGATTAAATTGGACATAGAAATTACGAGTTAGAAAAACATCACTAACAAAAAGTCATGCTTGCTACTCACAAATAAGAATTAGATTAAAACCAAACCCAATTAAATTATAATTATAAACAAAATTAAATTCTAGATAATAATATTTTTTATTACTTCCAATGGCACACCTGCAATTCTCAGCATCTGCTGGCGCGTTCCGTGAACAACGGCCACCCTCCTGCGTTGAAAAAAAAGCAACTCCCGCCCATCACAGTGAATCATAATATTAATATTTTCCTCAAAGTTAAAATTTAGAATTAAAATTAAATTTTGATGGTAAAAGATAAGATGACAAAGATGTAAACAAAGTATAATAAAATATGTAAAATATTAAAAGTTAAGTAGCGCTCGTCCAAGAGATGCGAGTTCTCCAACATCTTCTCTCTCTCTCTTATCGCATCAGAATCATTTTGGATTTTCTCCTCAGAGCTTCTTTTGGTGTCTGGAGCGATCAGTATCAAAATTTTCATCAATTTCAACTCTAAGTGGTTTGTTTCTAGCTATTTTGATCAGTATTTACTGAAGAAGTTGGATTTTTTTTATGGCTATAGATGGTGGAGAAGTTGATTGAGGTGGTGGTATAAATTTTGTTTGAGGGAATTCAGTTTCTGGGTATTTGTAAGATTTCATCTTTTGATGGAAATTCTCTGAAAGGACTAATCTTGGTGAAGAAATTTGGTTGGTCGCATCTGATCCACATCTCTCTCTGTGTTCAGTGACCCCCCCCCCGCCCCCCCCCCCCTCTCTTTCTGTTTAGCGTAATGAGTTTTGGTGGATTGGGTTGCTCTTAGAAGAGAAGAAGTCTAATTGAAGAAATTTCATTTTAGATGGAACTCTCTGAAATGAATAATCTTGGGGAAGAGATTTGGTTGTATCTGAACCAAATCTTCTGAATTCGGTGAAAATGAAAGGATACTTCTTCTTTTAGTTGAATCCTCAGCTCTTGTTAAAGAAATTAATACCTCGGAATTAAAGCTCTTAGTTGGAAGTTTTCGTGAATTGGGTGCTGAGTTTTTGAAGAGCTCAGAAGAGGAGAAACCGAATTCACTATCGGGCGCTGAGAGGGTTTCCATCTTCTAATACTGCGCTACATACAAAAGTTTGAATTTTCGAGGAATAATGGAGATCCATCATACAGAAATCGAATTCGGTCACTGATATCCTCATCAATCTCCAATGGATGGTTTCAATCCAATGGATTGTGGGGATGATCCATTCAATCTCTCTGCGCTCTTGAGTCTTGACAATTATCCAGAACTTTGCAGCCCTCTCGACTATGCTGCACCTCCCTATAGCTATTCAGCTTTCCAGCAGATTTCTAGTAATTGGGCTTCATCGGATATCGATACCCTAGCTTCAGCTTCAGCCAATGCTTCTGATGAGAGTATGATCAGTATTATTCCCAAATATATGCCCAACAACTCTCTTGCTGAGAGATTGCTCAGAGCTTTATCATTGTTTAAGGAATCATCCGGAGGAGGAATTCTAGCTCAAGTTTGGATGCCTATGAAACATAGCAATGGATATATTTTGAGTACGTCGGAGCAGCCATTTCTATTGGATCAGATTCTTGCAGGATATCGAGAAGTTTCGCGAGCATTTACTTTTTCAGTAGAAGAAGCTCCTAGTTCATTCCCTGGGCTTCCGGGACGAGTGTTTATATCTGGATTGCCCGAGTGGACATCAAACGTGGTGTACTATAATAACTTAGAGTACTTGAGGGGAGAGTATGCACTTGTTCATAAAGTAAGAGGGTCTCTTGCATTGCCAATTTTTTATCCTAAGGAAAGATCTTGTTGTGCTGTGCTAGAGCTTGTGACTACAAAGGAAAAGACAGATTTTGATATGGAGATGGATAGTGTTTGCAATGCTTTGCAGGTAAAACAGATGCTCGTCTTTGATAGTTTTGATTACTTAAGTATAAAGTTCTAGCTTACTGATTTATCTGAAAATTTTAAAATTTATGTTTCTTTGAAGAATTTATTGTTCTAACGTAATTGATGCTCCCTTTACATATGCATTTCACTGCAATATTGCGTAGTTTGAAGTAAACGTATGGTCTATTTTTGGAACTCTAGAGCACTTGTTCATGTCAATCTTAATGGAAATTTTAACTGCCATGAATATGGTTTGTACCTATTTGCTCTATTATTACTTCACTTGACAGATTTATCTCCGAAGAAGTATTCATACTTGTATTTGTTTATTGATCTAATTGTTGATGTATAAATTCAGTGTACTTGAGTCTAAAAAAGTGATGATTCTTTTACTACTATTTTGGACAGACAAATTTACGCCTGCTTTTCCATTATATTACAGTGTTAATCACGAAAAATATCTGAAAGATTGATTTTCTACTTGTTTACAGGCTGTGGAATTGAGGAGCATCAAGGGCCAAATTTATCAGCAGGTGTTAACATAACCATTTATGCGAAAAGTCATTAATACTCACTGAATAATTTGTTTAGAGAAAAGGGGCAAAAGCCACTGATTATTATTGATAAAGAATTACATGAATTGCTTCTGACCAATTTTGCTTTAGATCATTTTACAGCCCCCGACAAAGAAACAAAAATCAGCGTTCAACGAGATTCTAGATGTTCTAAGAGCTTGTTGCCATGCACACATGTTGCCTCTTGCACTCACATGGATCCCCTTCGACAGCACAAAGGAAGTTGTTTGTGAATTAAATTCAAGTTTAAGCAAGAAAAATTTGCTGTATGTTGAGGAATCAGCATGCTATGTTAATGATACAAGAATGAAGGGTTTTGTTCATGCTTGCGTTGAACATTGCCTTGAGAAAGAGCAAGGTATTGCTGGAAAAGCCCTTCTATCAAATCACCCCTTTTTCTCTCCTGATGTAAAAAGCTATAATATAAGAGAATATCCACTTGCTCATCATGCTCGAAAGTATGGATTGAATGCTGCTGTTGCAATTAGATTGAGAAGTACATTAACCGGCGATGATGACTATATATTAGAGTTCTTTCTCCCCCTTAATTGTAGAGGTAGTTCAGAGCAACAAGAGTTATTGAACAATCTCTCGAGTACAATGCAGAGAATTTGTAGGAGTTTGAGGACGGTATCAGATGCTGAAGTAGTTATTAGTGATTCCTTGAAAAGAGACATCCACAAGCAAGCAGGGAATAATTCCTCATCACCAGAAATCTCCATCAAGAACTCTCAACAAATGGATAGTGATAATGAAGTGTTTACTGATTTCGCTATTGAAGATCCAAATAAAAAATTGAGTGAACAAGGAGATGCAAATAGTGAGCAGGTACTTCTGTAATCTCTGATGCTTTTGTGTCTTTTGTTACCCCTTATTAAATTTTCATGAAATACTCATAAACAAACATATGATCACATTAAAACTTCAAAAAGAAGTTTGGTAGCCTCTGATATACTCAGATATATTAATATGGAGAAGGGGGTTGGGTCTGCAAGGAAAGTGTTGGATTCCAGATAAAAAGAAAATAACTACTGTCATGTTTTTCTAAAGATCTTGCTAGGGTAACATCATGGAGAAGTGAACTAATCCCAAAGTTATAGTTGGATTTTATTTATAGAAAAGTAAATTGGTTACAATTATATAATCTTCTTGTAGAGAATAGAGAAAACCCTAATTGTTGTTTATTGAGAAACAAGAGATATATATATAGCCATACAAATAGGGTTAAGATTAACGGGTAACAGCCCATTAACCCAATACCCAATACTTAACTTAACACTCCCCCTCAAGCTGGAGCATAGATGTCTACCATACCCAGCTTGTCACATATAGTAGAGAACACCTTTGAAGAAGTAACATTGGTAAGAATATCAGCAAGTTGTTGTGAGGACGGAGTGAATATGAGAGATACTATCTTCTTCTCCCAAACATCTCTGACAAAATTGTAGTCAACTTTAATATGTTTTGTCCTCTCATGAAACACAGGATTCTGTGCAATATAAATGACAGACTGGTTGTCACAATGCATTGACATGGGTCCAGGCTGAACAAAACCAAGCTCTGTCATAAACTTTCTTAGCCACACTATCTCACAAGCAGTGTGAGCCATTGCTCTATATTCGGCCTCTGCACTAGATCGTGATACTATATCTTGTTTCTTGTTTCTCCAAGTCACAAGATTACCTCCAACAAAAGTACAAAATCCTGAGGTTAACTTCCGATCTCCCATGTCTCCTGCGTAGCCAGCATCAGAGAAAACCGAAATGTGAGTATGTCCATGCTTCTTATATAACAATCCTTTGTCAGGACAACTCTTGACATATGTCAAAATCTTCAGAGCTGTTGTCCAATGAACCTCTCTAGGTTTGTGCATAAACCTGCTTAGTACACCTACTGCAAAAGTAATATTAGGTCTGGTAACTGTCAAATATATTAGCTTCCCAATTAGTCTCCTATATCGTCCAACATCATCTAAGAGAGAGGTATCATTACGTCACAAATCAACATTTGTCTCCATTGGAGTGCTTGCAGGTTTGTATTCCAAGAGACATGCTTCTTCTAGTAAATCTAGCACATACTTCCTTTGGGACAACAACATGCCATGTTTTTGATATGCAACTTCAATCCCAAGAAAATACTTTGGCTTTCCCATGTTTTTAGTGATAAAATGACGGTTTAGATACTCCTTAGTCTCAGCTAAGGCAATAGAGTCACTCCCAGTCAGCAGAATATCATCAACATATACGGCTAAAATAACCAAACTAGTTGTTGTGCGTCGAAGAAAGACAGAGTGATCAGACTGACAACGTTGGAAACCAACATTAGAAATAACCTTATTAAACTTATCAAACCAAGCTCGAGGACTCTGCTTTAACCCATAGATGGTCTTTCTCAGCCTGCAGATAATATTCTCCCCCTGAGCAACATACCCAGGAGGTTGCTCCATATAAACCTCCTCGTCCAAATCACCATAAAGGAAAGAATTCTTCACATCTAGTTGGTGCATCGTCCAATGCATATTAACAGCCAAAGAGAAAAGAATTCTGATGGAGTTAAGACGAGCAACGGGAGAAAAGGTTTCAAAATAGTCGACGCCATATGTCTGGGTATAACCTTTAGCAACCAGGTGAGCTTTATAACGGTCAACAGACCCATTGGGGCGATATTTCAGGGTATACACCCATCTGCAACCAACCACAATCGCTCCAGTAGGAAGAGAAACCAAGTCCTAAGTCCCTTTAGAAATTAGTGCATTAATTTCCTCATCTATGGCTTGCTTCTAAGCTGGTACTAACATAACTTTCTTATATGACATAGGTATAGATACAGTGGACAAGGACAAGGCAAACTGACAAAAAGATGGGTTAAGACGGTCATAAGAGACAAAAAGAGATATAGGATATTTTGGGCAAGACCGTTTACCTTTTCGAAGAGCAATAGGGATATCCAAGTCAGAAGGAATAGAGGTCTCAACATGAGATGGACCGACAGCTGGAGATGAAGGTTCCGCAGTAGCAGATTCAGGGGCATGTACTTTTGGACGGCGAGAGTATGTCAGTAGAGGTTTCGGTGCAGGAGCTACAGGAGCAGGAAATGGAATAGTAGTAGGAGCAGAAGAAGGTAGTGGTACATGTGGACAGCCAATAGTAGTGGAACCAGACGAAAAATATAGGACATACTCAAAAAAGGTAACATCAGCAGACACAAAATATTTCCTGGTGGACGGATGATAACACCTATACCCTTTTTGAGTACGAGAATATCCAACAAAAACACATTTGATGGATCTAGATGACAACTTATCTAAACCAGCAGTTAAATCCTGAACAAAACACGTAGAACCAAAGACACGGGGAATCACAGAGAATTGTTTTTTATCAGGATAAAGATAATTGAATGGTATTAAACCATCAAGGACAGAGGAAGGCATGCGATTAATCAAATAATTTGCAGTGAGAACAGCATCAGACCACAAATACTTTGAAATATTCATATGTATCATCAGTGTTCTAGCAATATCTAGAATATGCCTATGCTTCCTCTCAGCAACTCCATTTTGTTGTGAAGTGTGAGAGCAAGAAGTCTGATGAATAATGCCATTAAGAGCACAAAATTTTGAAACATCACTTTTCATATATTCCAAAGCATTATCAATACGAAGAATACGAACAGAAGTAGAGAACTGAGTTTTTATTTCATTATAAAAGAGTTTAATAACGTGCGAGACCTCTGACCTCTCTTTTAACAGATAAAGCCACGTCATGCGAGAGAAATCATCAACAAAGATAATAAAATATCGAAAACCTTGCACAGAGGGAACACGATAAGGACCTCAGACATCGGAATGAACCAACTCAAAAGCAAAACTTCTACGTTTATCGACTCGACTCTGAAAAGTAGCACGATGGTGCTTACCCAGTTCACACGACTCACAACCTAAAGAGGAAATAGATGACTGAACAGAAACTACCGATCTAAGTTTTTGTAGTGAAGGATGACCCAGACGCCAGTGCCACAATAAAGTAGAGTCTGATGCAACAAGGCCAGCCTCTAGCACACTGTCGTCCAAATAGTACATACCTCTTCTCTTATGCCCCGAACCAATTTTCATCCCAGTTGCTAGGTCCTGAAAAACACAATAAGATGGAAAGAAGGTGAATTTACAATTATTTTATTTTGTAAACTTGCTAATGGATAATAGGCTAACAGGGAATTTGGGAACATATAACACATCAGTTAGTTTTAAAGAGGAAGTAGCATGAACTACTCCATCATCACGAACTAGAGAAAGAGTACCATCAGCAATGCGGATAAAAAGAAACTTATCAGAAAGATGTAAAGATACAAAGTGATCCTTTATACCTATCATATGAGATGAGGCTCCAGAATCTAGTACCCAGGGTTTGTGAGAAGAAGCTATGTAAGCATCCATACCTGAAGAGGATGCATGAGTAGCAGAATGAATGTTCTGAGAGAGTTCTAGCTGGCGCAACCTCTCATAATCTGCCTGAGAAATCTGAACGGTAGGAGCAGTAACAGCTGGACCACCAGAAGTAGTAGCAGAAATAGATGAGTTAGTCTACTCTGTATCAGCTACCTGGGCCCACTGAGGACGACCAAACTTCTCCCAGCACTTCTCAGAAATATGATTGGTTCTCCCACAATGATCACACTGTCGTGAGCCCTTATCAGATTCACCTTGCCTCCCACCAAATGAGTCACGTCCTCCCCCTGAATCACGGTCACGACCACGACCGCGGCCTCTGCCTCGAATAGAGAACATGGCAGACTGATCCATCGTAGGTGGAGATGGTGCAGTAGTATCAGAAGTAACACCAGTAGAGACCTGCATGATTTTGGAGAATGTAGCAGTCAGTGAGGGAATTGTATCTTCACCCAATATTTATCCCCTCACCTGGGATTGTAAATTAGGATTCAACCCAGAAAGAAATTTGGATACTGCCAGATCACGACGATACCCTAATAGCGTCACTGCATCAGCTACTGCAGGCTGATGCATCTCTAGTTCGTCTATCAGTCCCTTCAATTCACCAAAGAATTCCGGAACTGACTTATCTCCATGTTTGAGCGCAAACAGTCGCTCATAAATTTTAAATACACGGGAAACATTCTTCTCGCTCCCGTACATAATCTTTAGGATGTCCCACATCTCCTTCGCAGTGGTTAAAAACATAACGCTGCTACTGATTTGTGCTTCCATACTGTTGAGAAGCCAAGTTATAACATAATAATCAGATGATAGCCATGTAGTGTAGGTGAGATCTGAGGTGGGTGGTGGAGATGCCAGAAGATGTGGGAGTTTTCTCTGAGCGCCAATGAAGATGTGGAAAGCTTGCGCTCATAGCAGATAGTTTGTACCATTCAATTTGATTGTAGTCCCTAAGACTACCTTAGGCGCAGAGGTCTCTCCAGCAACAACATGAGTAGTTGAAGAGGAAATATCCGACATCGAAGTAGTAGTCATTTTTGCGCAACAATAGTAGATAGATAGTAGTCAAATAGGCAATGCAGTAGTAGAGATAGTATTCAAAATAGGCAGTGCATATAGTAGGCAGGTAGTAGTCAAATAGGTAGTGCAACAATAGACATACGAGGCAGAGTAGTAGATAGTTACGCCCTCACGTCGTGGAGGCGATATCACCTGAGGGAGAGAGCCCTGACTTCTGTTTGCACAAAGGCTCCAGTCAAACTCTATATTCTCGTTTCTCGAAGGAAACAAGAATAGAAGTAAAATTCTCGTTTCTCGAAGAAAACAAGAATAGAAGTGAAAGATCTCAATGAGGTGAGATAGACACTCTTCCTCTTATCAGTTCTATGACTGAAATGTCGAGGGATACAATCGTCCTCTCATCAGTTCGAAGAATGAGATGTCGAGGGAATAGGTACTGTAGCAGTGACGGTACTGTAGCGGTAGCGGTACTGTAGCATGGTACTGTAGCGCGGCACTGTAGCAGCAGCGGTAGTGGCGACAGCAAGGAGAAGAGGCGGTGACGGCTAGAGTTTTTGAATAAGGATTTGTGACGGCTAGGATTTCATGCTCTGATACCATGTAGAGAATAGAGAAAACCTTAATTGTTGTTTATTGAGAAACAAGAGAGATATATATAGCCATACAAATAGGGTTAAGGTTAACGGGTAACAGCCCATTAACCTAATACCCAATACTTAACTTAACACTTTTAATGTGAGACCAAAGAGGGATCTCTAACTGTCCTGATATACACTCCTCTAATATAAAGAAAATTCAAGATTCATTTGGAAATAGTAATACATCTTCAGCTCTTCCCTTGCAACATCTCAATGGTTCAGCTTTGTGATCCCGAAGCTGAATTTCATATCAGAATTGCAGAAGTTGAAACATCTCATTAAATAGATCCAACAAAGAGCAAGACAAGCTTATCTTTCGGAAGTGTGAATGTTGTAGCCACTTTCGATCTTTCCCAAGTTATCCGGCCATGTCTCTGAATGAGTGCAATATTTATGATAAGAGAAAATTGAGTTCGAATAAAATACATAACTTTTTTAAGGGACTTAAGAGCGTGTATGGCAAGTGGTCAATATATGTGTGGTAAGTGGCTTATTTTGGCTAATAAGCCACCAAAAATAAGCTAGGATACCGTAGCTTATTTTTTGGTGGCTTATAAGCCACAAAGTCTGACAGTAAAAAACCTATATACCCTCATCATTCAAAATATTATAAAACTCGTTTCTCTCTTTCCAACCCCATTATATACTTGTTAGTCATTTTGATATCAATGATGGCTTATAAGCCACACATTTTCTAAACACTATTGAAAATGGATTATAATCCACTATATTTACCACAAACATTTTGCTTATAATCCAAAGTTGCCAAACTTGCTTTTTAAAACTTGTCACAAATAACTCAATTCTTATGATTAGAACATCAAAATTGTGTTAAATAAGCATTCTACTGTCCTGGTTTGCTGCACAACCTGCTAGACATGGAACCGATGAGTATCGACTGCATTTCCTGCCAAAAATCTTCCTTCAGTTTGTGTTCTCAACAATATTAGGTTTATAAACATCAATTTTGCTGAGATTGGAAGACATGACGTCATATGTTTTTGAACTTCTTTTCTTGGTGTTACAGTTTAAGTCTGGCTCCTCAAGACAACCCGAGAAGAAAAGGAGCACAACGGAGAAGAACATTAGCTTGAGCATACTCCAGAAATACTTTTCTGGAAGTCTCAAGGATGCTGCAAAGAGTATTGGTGGTGAGTTCTTCTCCTTCTACATCTTGTTTTTGTATTAGATGCTAGTCTCCTCTATTATTATCATCATAAGTTTCTTCTAGTTAAAAGTAGGGCTAAGATTATGGATTTCTTACCATGGAAAATGACAATCGTTTATATAGCCCTTTGCTATTGGTTATAGTCACCGGTAAACAATTGTACTTTTGATTTATTTATCATATTTTGTATAATTGTTTCTATTATCCAATAATAAAAGAATGCGTATTTTTTGAAACCCACGTTGTTCTTCTGAAAAAATCATGCAGGATCCTGCGACCTAAGAATCTCTCTATCAGAATTGTTATTATGTACAAGATTTAGAACTCAGGATGGAAACATGCAAGAAATGTCTCAAGAAATTAGAAAAAAATAAAATGTTCTAATTTTTGTAGTTTGCTTGATATTCATTTTTGCAGTTTGTCCCACAACACTGAAAAGGATATGCAGGCAACACGGAATTTCAAGATGGCCATCTCGCAAGATAAACAAAGTAAACCGCTCCCTAAAAAAGATCCAAACCGTGATAGATTCTGTGCAAGGAGTTGAGGGAGCATTGAAATATGATCCAACAAGCAGATGTCTAGTCGCTTCAGTCTCAACTGAAAAATCAAACACAACATCTCTCGAAAAGGTAAATCAAGACATAAGCCCTTCGTCTTCGATCCCTGAAATTGAAAATGAAAGACTCGTTACAAAGTTAGAATTAGATGACACTCACATTTTCAAAAGCAAAATGGAGTCTTTGTGCTTTCCTAATGCTCCTTATACAACCCCTATCCATCAAAGTAATGGTACATCAGTTCAAGACTTTTGAGCAAGTTACAGCAAAGAGCTCGAATTTAATGGGTATAGATGATATCAATACCAAAACAGATACTGATACAATAAAAGAACATAGCCATCCTACATACTCAAGCATGACTGACTCTTCGAGTGGAAGTGCTTCAAGCATCCCTACCTTTCAAAAAAATTCTAATGATAAAGTATTGGCTTATGATATTGATAATGGTTCAGCAATAACGGTGAAAGCTACTTATAGAGAGGATACTGTGAGGTTCAAATTCATACCAATAATGGGATGCCTACAATTGCTCGAAGAAATTGGAAAGAGGTATAAATTATCCATTGGAACATTTCAGCTCAAATATATGGATGATGAAGAAGAATGGGTAATGTTATCGAGTGATGCTGATTTACTCGAATGTGTTGAAGTTTTGGAGTCCATCGGGTCACGGAATTTGAAGCTTCTAGTTCGAGATGTGCAATGTAATTTTGGTAGTTCAGGGGGTAGCAATTTCTTGCAAACATAGATACGTAATGTTTGAAAGATCAGAGAATGTAACCGTAACTGTTTTAGTTTGCAATGTTTTAATTTTGTTGGGTTAAATGTTCTTGTGGTCATGTATAAAAGAGGGATGTGATGAGCTAGAGGTGTGACATTTTTCTTTGAAGGAAATGAGTGTTGCATCTTAAAGTCTATATGTGAAAAATTGTAGGATTAATGGGAAATTTGGTGTCAGTGTTGAAACTTGAAATCTGATGAGAATGTATAAATGGTTGTTTCTTCTTCCTTTTCTCGGAACGTGTCTTGACCATTTGTTTTATTATTTGAATAGTTTCACTAAAATTGATATAGATTATGCAACAGCTTTGAGATAAATTAGGTAAAATATTTACGCTCTGTCCTTCAGTTAGTTATGAAGTTATAGCAAGTTACGAGATAATTTCCTGTTTATTTCTTTTCCCCAAAGGTTTCAGCGAATGATAAGAATGCATGAGCTTCATTGGGAAATTTGGTGAGTATTGTGTAGATTTTTCACATGAAACTAGAAAACAACATTTATATACCTAATACCTATACTAAACGTATGCACTACAGTTGATCTAGGCATGACTAAATTACCAGGTAGATTTTAAAAATAGCAAGTCATAACCAGATAGGTATTAAAAATAGCACTACAGACGATTTAATTAGGCTAAATTTGTACCTAGGAATTGGTTGTCCATTTGATATGAAAGAACAAGAACAATTATGACAGAGGATAATTGAATACTTCTTTAGTCACAACAGATGGTGCATCCTGAGCAAGAACTGAGAAAAAAAGGATTTTCGTAGCGTATAATTGAGTCGTCAATGAATAAAACCTCAGTTACAGTTGTTGTTAAGAGTGATTTACTCCACTGTATCTGTTTGGGTAGAAAATTGTATTCTTCATTGTATAACTCATTACAACTTCGATCGTTACAACAAGTTCAAAAAGATCGGTCTTTTTATAAGACCTTTACACAATGAAAATAAAAGTTACAATTCTCGTTCAAACAACACGCAACAGGTGTTTATCGCCTATTGCTTTGCGTGGGATCTTCGCCTGTGCCGGGGTTTATCCGTGGACCGCCTACGGATCAGATCCGGTTGATGAAAAATTCGGCAGAGCTTCGTCTTCGCCGAGGAAGTATTTGATTTGAAGCGCTGAGATCGACCAAGCGAAATCAGCACTCTTCTCGAGATCAAGACCAAGCCTGATCTCAAGGAAATGGGGGAAGCGGGCTTCGGATCTTTCGAACTCTCCTTCTTTATGCTAAAGAACTCGCCAAGATCTGTCAACCCTTGCTGAAATTCGTGCTCCTTTGACTCCTCAATTCGGCAGCACCTCCTCGTCTTGATAATATTCCGCCCCTCTGAAATGAGCCCCTAGGCTTGTATTTATAAGCTTCAGTTGGGGGTTTTCGGATAAGAATGGATGATTTGACATTATCTTCAGTTAATAATAGCCTAACCATGTTTATAGATGATATCAAGTCAGTAGGGAACCCCTGGAACAGATAAATACTGAGAAAATCGTTCAAAATCGTCGAAAACGCGTCCGGAGGTCGAAACAGCACGGGGGGCGCGGAACGGCACGATCCTAGCGCGGGTCGGACGGATCCGACCCGCACGGGCGCGGGTCGAACCGCGCGGGCGTGGGGTTTTGGTTTTTGGTGTTTTTTTTATTCTCCGGGACTTGTTCTTTTCGCCGTTTCATGTATTTGGTCGACTTGTTGACTTGTACGCTTCATTGCGGGATTGGCCATCGAACGCGCATTGGTTGACATGTGCGCGTTGGTTAACGTACGCGTGTTGATTGATGCGTATGAACTGATTGACGCGCGCGTGTTGACCGACGCGTGCGAGCTAATTGACGCGCGTGTGTTGACCGACGCGCGCGAACTGATTGACGCGCGCGTGTTGACTGTTGAGCGCACAGGCCACTTGGTTCGCCGTTTCACCTCCTGCGCTTGTCGGTGTCAGATAATCCTCTTAGACTCAGAAAACGACGTTCGTCATCTTTTCTCCGTCTCGAGCTGTGTGCGGACACCCATAGGTATTTTTAGACGCCTACAGTATCCTGGGATACAGTAATAATTGCACGTGTGGCTATGGAGTCTACATATCACAGCTAGCATTGAAATTACTGATTACTCGTGTAATCTCAATCGGTACTTCTACGGTTATCCAGGCGGACGTGCGAAATCAATCCAGGTTCACTTGTTGTAGTTACATCACACTGTAAGATACCGAGATGCTTACAACCTTCGTTGTTATTGTTGAACCCCCCTCTAAGGTTTCAGGACTTAAATGGACTGCACAAACAACATGCTCTATTAAATTTCCTCAAATGTTTTGATGCTGTAATATAAGATCATCACAACATTGGGCTTACTTTTTCTAAAGTTTAGTAACGTATGGTATGAGAAATCAAAGTTAAAGAGCACCACAGTTGTTGGAACATTGTTCGGGGTGTAACAATATTTACGCAATATCGCTTGTTTGATCCATAACAAACTCTCATTTAGTGCTAATGAGTTTGTGAGATAATATATTTTAGGAATAAACAGGTACGAACAAGTTGCAACCGGAAACGATGCAAAAAATCAACACAATAGTTGATTTCAGTCTATTAACCATCGATGGTCTCGAGGCACCATCGAAGATCTCCAGGCACCATCGATGGTCGCACAAGTCATCGATGGCCTATAGTCAACAACATATATCTTTCAGAAATGAGAAATCAAACCATCGATGGATTGCAGTCAACCATCAATGATCGCTTCAATCATTGATGGATTACAGTTAACAATATATCAATTCCAGAAGCTAAAATTTGAACAATCGATGGACTATAGAGAACCATCAATGATCATCAACAGCCCATTGATGGTCGTGTTTAGCCATCGATGGTTTGGATGTGTTTTGGCAGATTTCAAGAGTTAAAATCATTAATTCTTGATCATATTGAAAGAGTTCTAATCATTCTTGATCATATGAGAGTATTCGTCATGTTGTCATGAATCCACACCACAGGAACAAACAAAACTCAATCTGTAGGAATATAACTCAAGATATAAATGTTTAGGAATATAACTCAAGATATAAATGTTTAGTTAAATAATGTCAAAATAGTCAGTAGCAGAATTAAACATACACAGAGACTGAAACTTGCACGGGCCATAACTTTTGACTCAATTATCCAAATTCCTGTTATAATTACTTTTTGAAAAGCTCTTGATCTAATCTATCTAAAAATCGATGGTAGTGTTGCGCGCAGCGGAAATTTCGGCAGCACTTCGGCAGCACAACAAGAGAGTCAGGTCGCAATAAGAATTCTTGTTTCTCAAAGGGAACAAGAATCTGAAGCCTATATCCTATCAAAGTAGGATATTAGCTCTTCCTCTCGTCAGCTCTAGGACTGCGCGTCGAGAGAACCTAAAAGCTATTCAAATCACACAAATAGCAGTACAACCAATTTTTACGTGGTTCGGCAAATTGCCTACGTCCACGGGGCAAGGAGGGGGGAGATCTACTAATAGAGGGAGAGAATACAAATAGGGTTTACACAAGAATCTCACAAATAAAACCCTCACACAAACTCTCAAATCCCTCACCTTTTTGTCCGCAGCCGCACAAAACAGACTTGCTTCTGTTTTTAATTTCCAAGCCGCAAAGCAACCTCTGCCTCCTGACGCACTCCTTCACAAAACCCTATGAGGGTTTTTATATTGTTTCCTTGTGGGCCACGAACACGAACGAAACCATTTTGTGGGCCGCGAACACAAACGAAACCGAAACCACGTCCTTATTTTCTTTGTCCGCTGGACACACGTGTGGACGTGAAACAATTGTGATGGCTGGGCCTCACTCATCACAATTCTCCACCTCGGTGAAGTTTTCCCAAAACTGAGCCGACACCAAAGCAACCAAATGTCCCACTTGTTGTGACCAGTACGAACGCAATCCACAACAAGTCGAGAACCCGAACGATAGTCCAAACAATCTCACCCCCATCAACTAATCCAAACCGGCTGCATCTTAAAGACTGCCTACGTATCCTCTTACCCAAGGAATCAAGCCGAACGTAGTTCACTCAAATGGCCGCCAACGGCCTCAACAATCACGAATGTGCAACAAGCTTCGACAATGATCAAACTTGTTACTCGGAACCACCTTAGTGAGCATATCTGCCGGATTATCCTTCGTGTGGACTTTAACAATCTCCACGTCGCCATCTTCAAGAACATCTCGAACGAAGTGATAACGAACATTAATGTGCTTCGTCCGCGCATGAAAAACCTGATTCTTCACCAAATAGATAGCACTCATGCTATCACAATGAATAGTGACGGACCTCTGCGATATACCAAGTTCCTCCAAAAGTCCTCGAAGCCAAATAGCCTCCTTCACAGCCTCCGTAACTGCCATATACTCTGCCTCCATCGTAGACAAAGTCACCGTTGACTATAAGGTGCATCTCCAACACACCGGTGCACGGGTCAAAGTAAACACATACCCCGTAGTAGACCGGCGTTTATCCAAATCCCCGGCATAATCCGAATCAACATAACCAATGCATAGCTGCCCACCTTTAGTGTCCCGCTCATAACTCGTACATACCATTGCGTACATCAAGCTTCCAACCGCACTCGCATATGGAGTCTTCGACATTAACTCTCGATCTTCAACTGACTTTGGTGAAAGACCAGCTGAAAGCTTCAAATGGGCTCCCAAAGGTACACCAACTGGCTTCGTATCCATACTAATATGGAATCGCTGTAGAACCTTCTTCAAATAAGCCACTTGTGTCAAACAAATCCTACCCTTCTTCTTGTCTCTGCCGATCTCCATCCCTAAAATGCGCTTCGCCTCACCCAAGTCCTTCATCTCAAACTCATTTGAAAGCTGAACTTTTAATTCATCTATAGCCGACCTGGAAGTAGAGGTAACTAACATGTCATCGACATAGAGCAACAAATAAATGTACACACCTCCTTTCAACTTGCGAAAATATACGCAAGGATCAAACTGGCTCCGAGTGTACGAATGACCAATCATAAAACCATCAAATCGCCTATATCACTGTCGAGGAGACTGCTTCAAACCGTATAGCGATTTCTTCAGTTTGCAAACTAATTTTTCTTTCCCTGCAACTCGGAATCCCAATGGCTGAGTCATATATATTTCTTCATCAAGATCACCATGAAGAAATACCGTCTTCACATCCAACTGATCTAACTCTAATCCATATTGTGCCACCAAAGCT